TAATTTTGCATTTAATGCCTTCTGTCACCCAGCCCACATCAAAGGGCACTCAGAGCTGTTCAGGTGTCAGTTGTGAGCCAGTTTCACTTTGCACCACAAGAAACTTAAGCACTTTCTGTGCAGCAAGAGGGAAAAAAGCTGGTAACCAGTGCAGAGGGTAGAGTTTTTGTTTCTGTTTTAATTTTCTTCATTTTCCTGAAGCTGTGTATAGCTGCACAGCTCAGGGAAAATTTTGTGGAGTAGCCTCAGCCAAAGGAAACATCTACTCTGATGGCTTAAAAGTGCTGGGAAATGTGAACACAGCCTTGTTGGAGTGTAATGCTACTTGCATTGGACAGAAATACTTTCTGTACTGGCAGTTACCAACTGAGCAGTGAATCTCCATTGCTTTAAGTGTTCACTCGTGTACTTACTGAACAGTTCACAGGTAGCTGAAAAAATTAGTGGACCCTGCCTGTGTGGCTTTTGCCTTGTGGTTTGCAGAAGAGATGCTTTTGTATGCGACTGTTTTCTGTTTGAAATGGTTTTTTGCACTGTTTTTAACAAAGCCCTTGACGAGGCACTTAAGATATTAACCAGCTTCAGCAGATCATGCGTCTGACGGGAACGCCCCCTGCATATCTCATTAACAGGATGCCCAGCCACGAGGTGAGATTGAGCAGAGGAAGGGGGTGTGCAGGGCAGGGCTTCACTCAGAGTGTTCAGCACTTCTGTGAATTGAATGCTTGCATGTGGCATGGGGTGGGCAATTAACTACCTGCTCTTCTGCAAGGTTTTTGTACTAAATGAAGGTGTGAGATTTGGACAGCGCGTGCTCTGCCACGGACGTGTGAGACTCGGGAGAGCCTGGCTGTGAGCTGGTTTTGCACTGTGGGCTGTGCTGTGCAGCTCAGCAGAGCACAGCAGGCTGCACCCAGCCTTGCTGGGACACCAGGGGCTCAGCTCTTCCTGTGCCTCTCTGCTTTCCAATCTTACTTTGCCACAAGTAATGTCAGCTCTTCCTCTACTGTCTGGAGTGCCTTAGTTGGGACAGGGTAATGCTGATGTGCTTAGTAAGTGTCAGAGTAAGCAAGGAGACAGACCATAATAACCAGTGCTTCAGGATGGTTGAAAAGTACTTGATCTTGCTGGCTGGATATTGTCTGATGCTTCAACAGAGCATTTATTTCCACAGGCAAGAAACTACATCCAGTCTTTGTCTTACATGCCGAAAATGAACTTTGAAAACGTGTTTATTGGTGCCAATCCCCTGGGTAAGACCTGATTATTGAACTTTCCTGAAAGTGAAGCTAGCATGTCCTGGGACACAGAGATTCCCAAAGCTTTGTCCTGGCTGCAGGAGTAGTGCAGAACAGGGTTATGTTCATGGACGATGTGGGGGCCAAGGGCGTAAGAGGAAGAAAATGCTGGATGATGGTGGGTCCTGAAAAACTACAGATTCCTCATCTGTGTTGGGCTTTTAGAAGCTTTACATTTCAGAGTAGAGCTCGTGTGAGAAATCCTGTGTGTCTGGTGCTCTTGCAGCCGTGGACTTGCTGGAGAAGATGCTGGTCCTGGACACGGACAAGCGCATCACGGCCGCGGAGGCGCTGGCCCACGCCTACTTCGCCCAGTACCACGACCCCGATGATGAACCCGTGGCAGACCCCTATGACCAGTCCTTTGAAAGCAGAGAACTTGAGATTGAAGAATGGAAAAGTGAGTCTGGGGGAGGGGAGAGACAGCTTCTCTCATGGCTGTAGAATCATGGAATATCCTGAGTTGGAAGGGACCCACAGGGGTCGTGGAGTCCAACTCCTGGCCCTGCACAGGGGTCCTGCAGAACCCCAGAATCCCACCCTGTGCATCCCTGAGAGCATTGTCCAAATGCTCCTGGAGCTCTGGCAGCCTCAGGGCTGTGCCCATCCCCTGGGGAGCCTGGGCAGTGCCCAGCACCCTCAGAGGGAAGAACCTTTCCCTGATATCCATCCCAACCCTCCTGACCAGCTCCAGCTGCTCCCTTGGGTGCTGTCACTGCTCACAGAGAGCAGAGATTGGAGCTGCCCCTCTCAGACCTTGATGAGTCTCCCCTCAGTCTTCTCTCTCCATGCCATGAGCTGAGGTTCAGCTAAGCCATGGTTAGAGGCACAGCAGAAAGTGATAAAATGTGGGCATCCTGTTGATTCTGTCCTTACCCCAAGTGAATCTACCACATGTTGTGTGCATATTGAGCATAGTCCCTGGTAACTGATTACTACTAGGAGCACACAAACATATCCTTGTTTTCAAACTTACATCTCCTCAATGCTCTGGAAGTTTCTTTTATTGTGTATGTTGTTCTCTGAGAGCAGTGTAACCATTCTTGTCTTAATTAAACAATACTTTTTGTTTAAAATGCGGTTAGAACACTTGAGATTGTTGCAGGTTTTCTTGCATGAAGGTGTGTCTGGTAGTGCTGTCATAGTCCTGCTGCTAAGTTTCTGTCCCACTTCTCCCCCCAGGCCTGACTTATGATGAAGTAATCAGCTTTGTGCCACCCCCGCTTGACCAAGAGGAGATGGAGTCCTGAGAAACTGCTCTCTTCTGTTTGTCCCACTTCACTGTGAAGGGAAGGCCTTTTCATAGGGACTCTCCAATTATCGTTCAAGTGCCTCATCACAACAATATTCTCCTTAGTGGAGGGGTTTTGTGTGTGTTGAACTGGGGAGGGAGGGGGGAGGGAAGGAAGCTGAGTCTATGTAAACATGCTGCATGCTCTTGTATTCTGTGTACAGCCTGGGGCAAGCCTCTGGAGACCTGTTCTGACTGCACTTAGTTCTTCCAGAGTAACAGTGCACCACCAGTCTGCACTGCTGGGGTGAGGTGAGGAAGGTGACAGTGACAGTTTGGTTGCAATCATTGCCATTTATCAATTCTCCTACAACTGAGTAACCTCAAAAAGAATGAAAGTTGGTTTATAGGCTTAGAGAGTCCTCTGTTTTCTTCAGGACTGAAGGTGGGGTTGGGGGATGTCCTTGTTCAATGCCAGGTGTGTGATTTACATCCAAATCTTCCTGGTACAGCAGAGTGTAGAGGCCTCCTGGTGTCTGATTCTTGGAACATGAACAGATGTTGTTTGAAACTGTAAATATGTTTGTGCCTTAAATAAATGGGGAGAGAGGGGAAGGGAAGTCTGGGGTGGAACTCTGACCCACTGTTCTTGAGTGAAGGCTCCCAGGTAGGAAGGCATGAACTCAATGTAATTGGGAAGTAACTCTGAGGCAACAACTTCAACCCCTGGATTGGGTATTCCTGTGTTCTTCACTTTCCTCCTCCTCTTGTTCTGAGGCTTCTCAGCATTATCTCCCAGGAGCCAGAGGTTGGGGAAGATCCTTGCTAGCCACACGTTTGTGTATTCTGTTCCCTACAAGGTGGTGTGTTTTTGCATGTTGTAGCTGTATGTGCATGTAGAGCTGCTTGATTTTTGTCCTTACTTTTTGGGGATGGCACTGGTGGCAGTTCAATCAGTGAAATGTTTGCTGAGTACCTCAGGCAGTGCCATAAAATCACAGCACCCTTCCTCCTGTGCTGCAGCTCCTTGTGAAATACCTGCCATCCTAGAGGCTTCAACGAGGGAAGGACGTTGTGTCCAACAGATGCACCTTTTTCTTTGTTCTGACCTTCTCTCTGCAGAGGAGGAGCTTGGGTGGAAAGGTTTCTTGTGAGATCAAGTGTAAAAAACATTCTTTAAAGAAATGACTATAGTATCTTGTGCCAGAACTTAAGTTATTTCCTGAAAAGATTTTTTTTTTTAGAAGTATTGGAACCCAAAGCAAAGAAATAAGCATGCATAAACACACAATCACCCTTTCACTGTCTATATCTATAAATACAAATATTTATATACATAAAACTAACATTTACTAGAAGTTTTTTTATCCTCTCACATAAGAGCTTCTTGGCTATTTCTTAGCAGGTTGATCTCTGCCTGAGGAAACATGAGAAGGGAGTATGTTTGAATACAAACATGGCTCAGATATTTTGTATTTTCCAGGACTCTGCATGAGTGGACTGCCCAGAGTTAGAGGCTGGCAGGAGGGAGGTTTCTCAGCATGGTTGTGTGCTCCATCTGTAGCTGGGGAACTCAGGAGCCCAATTTTAGGGCTTCTGGAGGAAACATTTTTAGACTTTTTTAATTTGTTGCAGGCATCCTGTGTGGGCAATGTACCCGTGTATGTGAGGAGAAAGGCTTTTGCAGTATTTTGTATTCTTGTTACCTGTGGGGCAGAGAGTGTTTTTGCCCCACTTTTGCCCCATGTTTGAAGAGGCAGCACAAAGGGATGGGACGTGGATGACAAAGCCATTGATTCTTCCTAGGTGACTTCCCAGCAATCTCTTCAGGCCAGAAGTTCAGTAAAGGTCTGGGCTGAGATGTAGAGAGCAGCTCTGTTGTGCTCTAGGATAAAACTCTCCACAGCCCAACAAAATCAAGACAAAAAACCTCCCTTTTCTGCTGGGCCAGCAGTCTGGGTATTCAAATAAAAATGTAGATACACTATGTAAACCTACAGCAAGATTATTTTTATCAGTCATTTTCTGTGTAGATGCTACAGTGTGATTTCATGCGGAAATATTGCTAAAGGTTTTTAAAACCTCTCGGTGTTGTGTGTGTGGGTGTGTCTGTGTGTGTGAGTGGGAATGGTTCATTGGAGTCTGTCCTCTGAGGGAGCCCCTGGGGCACAAACTCCCTGCTGCCAGTGCCGTGCTGTGCTCAGCTGCCTGGGCACCGTGCTGCACCCAAAAGCAGAGATCTGCTATTTTGTTTCTATCCATGGATTTTGCTGTAATTGGTTATGCCAGATAAGATGTCACAATACCACTGGTTAAAAATAAAATCTATTTTTCAGATTTACTGCACTGCTGGTACTTGGAAACCTCTTGCACTGGGAAGTGTTGAGTTTTAGCATGGTGTGAATTTCTCTGCTGTGCTGTGGGGGAGCCTGGGTGTGATGGCTGGGAGGGAACAAGGTGGCTGGAGGCTGACTCTGCTGCCATGGGGCTTCTTGCCTGTTTTCCCACAATTCTAAAGTTTCCTGTTTGATTTGGTCACAGACTTAACTCATCTCAGTAGAGCCCAGACCTGCCCCAGCCATTCAGGACTCCCTAATTGCCTGTGTGTGCACCAGCAGCTGAGCAAGGGCTGTGTTCATCAAACAACCCAGGAGTTACATGTTTGCTTAAGGACCAGGAGCTTTTGCTGTGCCACCTCTTGCTCACAGGTGTATTTATAGACCCAGCCAAGCTGTGGATTATTTCCAGGCTGTGCTGCTGCTGCAACCAGGGCTGATTACACAGATTCTGCCTTGTCCCTGTTTGTGTTTATGAACAGCAGGCTCTGCTGGGCTGCTCGAAGAGCATAAGGGCCAATGCAGTGGTTGCACATAAAGTGAATTTTCCCCACCCCCTTGATTGTCCTGTAGGGACACCTTTGCAGTGCCCTGTGTGGAAGGAGCAGAGGCTCTAGGCAGGGTGGAGGGCTGCTGGGGTAGAACACAGTGCAAGCAGCTAGGCTGGCTTGGTAAGGCTCGGCTTAGTCACTTCCTTTGGGGAGTGGGGAGGATGCACCTCCTGTGTGGGAGCCCCACCTGAGCCTCCTCGTGCTGGAGCGAATTTTGAGGTGCTCTCTGCTTACCAGGAATGGTCCTCGTGGGCTGGGGGTGCTGGGCTGGTTGGTCACAGACACGGCAGTGAGCACGGGCTTTGCTCTGTCCGAGAAGAGCCGGGAAGGGCTGAGAGCTGCTGCAGGAGACAAAACCGCACCCAGCAAAGCCTGGGGCACAAACCATGGGGATGCTCCCATCTCAGAGCTGCTCCTGGAACCCTCGCAGCGCTCACTTGGAGAACCTCAGCCTACTTTCAGCACCTCCCCACGCTGCTGGGAAGCCGGGCTCGGGAGAAAATCGCCATCGATGTGACCCCGTGGTGTCCCTTGTCACGAGCTGTCCGTCGCCTTCGAAGGGATGCCCCTGGTGTCTGACGCGATGCTGTCTGTGGCTCGTCATTCGGATTCCCCGGCTCGGCGAGTCCTTACTCATCCCCTTGTTTGGAGGAGGGATTTCGTGAGCCCCTGGCCGAGCCCCGTGAGGATATTTCTGGGCTGATGGAGCAGCAGAGCGGGAGCTGTGGATGACAGGGGCTGGCAGAGGCGTGCCCGAGCGGGGCTGGCTGCTCCCGTCCTGCCGCGGAGCCAGAGGCACCTGTACCGAGGCGTGTCAGGAAACCCGATGCCTCACCTCTGCCAATGTGGAGGCGGAGGGAGGAGGGCCCAAAGACATGTCCCTTCACGCTCGCAACAGCTGAAAACAGAGAAGGAAACTCGCTAGAGCCTTTTTCAGCAGCGCAGGAAGCCTCCCTGTCCCGCTCTCACCCCAGAAGCCCTCCCGTACTCCACTACTCTGGGGGGGTGGCTGTCCCGCACCCGTCGGGCGATGAACATCGCAAGGAGAAGAGGCTTTTACAGACAGGAGGTGAACAACACGCTCTGGGAGCTGCCCAGGAGATACACATCCCTGCACCCGCTGGGCTCCGGGGCCTACGGCTCCGTCTGGTGAGTGGGGTCCGGCCCGCGGCAGCGCGGGGCGGGCTGGGGGCCGTGGGAGTTCCGTGCCGGGGGGGAAACGAGGAGGCGCTTGGCGGAACCCCTCCATTAAGGAAGGATATTTGCATGTGTGATGGGGACGGGATGGCTCCTGCCCCAGCGCACGGCTGAAGAACATGGTCAGGGCAGCGGTGCGAGGGCAGCCGAGCGTCACCTCGGCCCTGGGGTCAGGCCGATTTTGAGCTGCTTTGGTCTCCAGCTTGCGTTAGAGTTCCTGTCTGGTAGCACAGGCAGGAATCCCTGGGTGTCTGAAGAGATTTGTGGGTGATTGCAGAGGTGGGAGCTGGAACAGGGTGTCCTTGCTGCTCAGTCCCCGGCAGCTGAAGCAGCTGGACAATACCCTGATACAGTCTCCAACCCCCACCCTGATACAGTTTCCAATTCGAAATAATAAAACAGATAGAAATTATTGCAAACAGAATCAGTAACAGACTGAGACTTCCTCATGGCTGATGATAAATCCCAGCCTACAAGAGAGCAGCAGGAGCTGCTGTTCATTATTCAGGCAGGCAAAGGTGCCTGAAGCAAGAGCAAGCACAAGGCAGACATTGCTGGCTTGGCACTGACAAACCAGAGATGGGCAACCCTGAAAGGTTAAATATGAAACAGTCCATTGATAGGATCTGAACAGAGCCCTTATTTCATAACATGCTGAGCTAAAAATAAATGAAAAAAAAAAAAAGGTGTGTCCGTTTTCATAGGTGTTGGGCAAAGTCTGCCACTGGCACTAATCCTGAAACCCTGGTGTCCAGGTTTTGTCCTTTTTCTCCAGCTTCCATTTTACTTGGCTGCCCAGATGTGTTTATGCCTCTTAAATTCTTAAGTAAGTCCTGCAAAATCAGGCAGGATTAGACTTGACTTTTAATTTATATTTGTACAGCGTTCTCTGATTTTTATCACAGAGAAAATCAGGAAGAAAAATAAAGACAGGACTAAAAAAAAAAAAAAAAAAAAAATAAAGGAAGAGAGAAATCTTTTCAAGTTTCCTTGCCCAGCCGAAAAAAAAAACAAACATCAAAAGAAATCTTTACTGGTCCCTGTAAAACTCTCGGCTGCTCTGGAGCTCTCAAGAAGGGAGGCTGAAGCAGCCCGGGGCTGCGTGGTCGTTTTGAATGGACAGAGCTCAGCAGGGAGAGCTCGATTCTGAGTCCTGTACAAAGCCGAGGCAGAAACGTGGAGCTAGGATCTGCTGTCCTCTGCTGGGAATTGCTGGGAAAATTTCCTATTGCAGCGGCTTTTACACCTTCTTGAGCAGCTGAGAAAGTAACTCGGGAGAAACAGCAAAGGCTTGCTTCTGCCCTTATTAATTTGCCAAAATCTGTAGCGATTTGACTTCCAGCTGAGTGTGAAAGAAGAATCTTCTGACCTCTCCAACGCTGCTGCTGCCGATCTCTGCCAGCCAAGGCAGGGGCAGAGCTGTGCCTGCCCGAGGTCAGCCCAGACTGAGCTGTTCTGAATCTGTGCTGGGAGAGCACCGGGGCTGTCCCAGCTGCGTCTGGGATGGGCTCTGGGCTGGGTTAGATGCTCTGTAGGTCAGCAGCTGGGAGGACACCCTCAAATTGGGAAATCTGCCTTGGATCTGCAGTGTGACTCCCTGGTCTGAGTCCCTTCCTCTTATTTGCCTGGCTCCTCCAAAAATTTTACGCAGTGCTGTCCCCTCTGCTGGCATCTGCTGAAGTCCTGAAAAGGAGACAAAACCTCACTGAGAGTCCTTCTAGGACATCCTGCAGCATCTTCAGCACTTCAGCTGCCTTGTGTAGCTGTTCCTGCACTTCCTTTGCTTCTCCTGACTCAATATTTGCCAGTGCAAGGCTGGAGGGTGCAGCTGGAAGCCATGGGATTGAACATGATGATTTACAGCTCTTCTGTTCCTGTGGGAGATGGGATAGGGATTTCCAAAGCAGTGGGAACAGTGGGATTTGGCAGGAAAATCCTTTTTTTTTTTTTCATCTCTTTGCCTCTTGGGAGGGGTCAAGGAGGGCTGAGACACCCCTGGAAAACACCACTGAGAGCCCTGAATTCCAGCTGTCTGTCTGGGGACCTCCCTTCCCTCCTGGGCAATCTGAGCAAGGAGCCTCCAGAGGGAGAGGAGCTGTCACAGGAATGCTGTGTCCAGCTGCAAACAGCTGGAATTCACAACATAATAATGCCTGCAGCAATGGTTGCTGCACCAGGTTTTCATCAGCTCCAGAGAAGTCTCATTTTCAGCCAGACCTGCTCTTACACAGAAGTGAATATGTAATCAAGGATTCTGAACACAGCAGGATTAATTGCAGCAGCATTTTCAACATGTGACATCCACAGTCTTTGCTCCAGAATACAGTGAAGGCAGCTGGCCTGCCCTAAAACACAACAACCTCCAAGCAGATGGCAAAGCAGAAATTGCCATATCTTTATTCCCTTATCTCCATGCATTAAGGAAGGAGAAGACAGAGTTAGAACTAATTCTGACCTTTAACCATTTGTGTTTCCCTTTTCTCTCAGCTCTGTTACCTCCAGCTCATTTCTGCAGGTTGAAGGGAATAAAGATGAGCCACTTGTGCTTTTCTTGGTGTCCCACCTCATCTCCCCAAGAGCACAGGCTGCCCAAAGCCACACAGGGCTCCACTGAGCTCCCCAAAGGACCTTTCTCTGCTGCTCTTCTGCACGCACAGGAACCAGAAGCTCTTCTTCCACTTCTGGAACCTGTGGGGTTGCAGAATCTGTTCAAACACTCTACTGACATCAGGATGGTTTTTTTATTTGCCTGCTGCAGTTCAGCCATAGACAAGAAGACGGGGGAGAAAGTGGCCATCAAGAAGCTGTGCCGCCCCTTCCAGTCAGAGATCTTTGCCAAGAGAGCCTACAGAGAGCTGATGCTGCTGAAGCACATGCAGCATGAGAATGTGAGTGATCGTTTCTCCTCTTCCTGCTGACACAAGGGGTGTTCCCTTGCCACCTTTTGGTGGCATCACCTGTGTTTTAATTGACGTTTGGTACGTGCAGGCTGTCTCAGGGTTTACCTGTGACCTGTTTGCTGTGCCCAGGATGGAGCAGGTGTGTAATGGGTGAGCCCAGGTATTAGTAAGAGGGAAAACATTTATGCAGCATCACTGAGGAGTCCCTGGGTTCCTCAGATGGAATTTTCTGTGTTCACCCACGTGCATGTGCCAGTGGAGAGCTGATCAGTGCTGTGTGCACAGCAAATTCTTTCCAGATTTAAATGTGGGCTTCTCTCCTTCCTCAGGTCATTGGGCTGCTTGATGTCTTCACCTCCACTGCCTCCTACCAGGGGTTCCAGGACTTGTAAGTCTCGAGTTGTTTGCTCTGTATAGACTTAATTGTTTTCCAAGACAGCTGTGTCTTATCAGCAGCATAACAGAGAGGGTTGGGGTGCAAAGGGACCAGACTAGAACCCAGGCATCCCCAAATAACACAGAGAGCCAAGAGCACACCTCAGCTCCCATGGCTGACACACCCAGAGCACGTCAGCAGATCCCACCCCTGCTCCCAGCTGGGACACCACAGCAGGCACAGACCAACCTGTGCAATGAGGATGTGTTACATTCCATGGTGCATCACTCGAGGCTGATCCATGCTAGCACTGCGTGACTGCTGAGCTAAGGAGCTGCACTCAGAACTGGAGAAGTATTGTTCATCAGGCCTCAGGGCAATTAAGCTCCGAATTTGAAAGATCTGTCCCTCTTTTTCTCTTAATTCTGGCTCTTCTCAATCAATTTTTTTGGCATTTTCCCTCCATGTTCATGGTCATGTTAGACAAGTCCTTTTTCCTCTCCCATCACTGCAGATGAGCAGTGTGTGCCTGGGTTTGGGGTTTGGCTGATGGCTGAGTGTTAGCAGCCTGCAGGAAGAGCATGTGAAGGTTCTCAGAGCAGTTCCTGCAGGAAGAGCAACAATTAATTAGCAGCCTCAGCAGGCAGGTACTGAAGGAAGCTGGATGTTGTCTTCTGGGGCAGGGCTGGAGCACATTACAATGATAAATGTGGGAGCCAATGCAGCTGCTTTGCTGTGTGAGATGTTTCAGCTCCTGGATGGTGAAAAGCTGCCCAAAATTGAAATTCACTTGAAGTTTAAACTAATTCAGGATCCTGAAGATCCTTGTTCTTACTTGACATCAGATATCTGATTTCAGAGGAGGAGAAAGAGCAATTTTCAGAACAGGTTGAAATTCCAACTTCTCTGCAGGATGAGCTAGTTAGCCAGGAACACTGTCACAACAACTCATCCTCCTTACAGTGAGTTACACAGCCAGAAAAACCAAACCAAGTGAGAACAAGGCTAGCCTGGTCCCCTGCATTTTTCTTCCAGACTCAGGGCCTTGTCTTACTGCCTTTTAGCTACCTGGTGATGCCATACATGCGGACAGATTTACAAAAGATCATGGGACATGAATTCAGTGATGAAAAGATCCAGTACCTGGTCTACCAAATGCTGAAAGGGCTGAAGGTAGGTGGGTCTGGAGGAGTTTAGTGACTCCCTGTGTCTCCTCTGTGTGTCACCTCTGGGTTGACCCTAACTAAACTCCCCTCCAATACTGTACAGGAGGACGTGGGGAGTTTATGGCATCCCCTCAGAACAGGTATTGGCTGTTGAACCATTCCTGGTCCAGCACACACCAATAAAATGAGTGTTTGCTTATATCAGTCAGTTGGGTATCACAGTAATCAGCAGCCACAGGCCTTGGGATGGTTTTTCCATTCCCAAGCACTTGATTCTGTCTTTGCCTTGCCCAAATGAACTCTGCACAGAGAGGGAGAGACTGGCAGCAGCAGGAGCTCCTCTGAACCTGTCACAGAGGCTCTCAGGGGAGAGGACAGAGGGAATGGTTTTCTATTCAGCAGCATAAGGAAGGAATATGTTTCTCTAACTTTGAGGGAGCTGAAAGCAATCCCTGCAAACTCTGGGATGTGGAGACAGAGCTTTCCAGCTGTCCTCTCACATCCTTCACCTGGAGTCACAGCAGTGGCTTGCAGGCATCAGTGGGTTCACCTCAATCACACCTCTCCCCAGGCACTGCTACCTTGAGTTTAAATAAAGGGGGGAAGAACACACAGAAGGTTTGACTGGTGTGCTAAAAACCCCGAAGTCAGTTTTGCAATTTTATGTTTTTGGGCTGAGATTATTTTTTTGAACACCCAAAACAACCATGTTCTCATGTCATCTGCTGTAACCCTGATGACTTTGACAGTCTGAAGCTGTTGTACTTGCTCTGAGGAGCTTCATCCCTCCTCTTCTGCTCGCTGCATCTTCTTTAGACTGGCAATAGCACTCTAAATACTGTCAGTAATTTGGGGCAGAAATTTCTTTTCAAACTGCTGCCCTAGGGACCAGGGACCTGTAGAAGGCTGCAGAGGTTTGTTCTCAGCAAGTTCTTGTTTGTAGCTCTCGTTTCTCTGCTGGATAACAGAGAATTTTGTCTGCTGGTGATCACATTGTGGCTCCTCTTTTTATTGCAGTATATTCACTCAGCTGGCATCGTCCACAGGGTAAGTTCATGTGTGCTCTCATTCTGATTTTTGTCATAAAGTTAATAAATTCCCAACCATCATTTCACTAATAGCATTGTCTGCTCTAATTTTCCATCCTGTCTGTTCTCTTTTCCATCCTACACCCCATATATGTTTGGATTTGTTAATTTGTGCAGGATTTTGAGAAAATACTGTATTTTCTGATGAGCTGAGAAGCATTTTATGATGCTTTTTGCATTAAAACTGTTTCAGAAAGGAATCAAATAGTAATCTAATGCTGTACAGTACAGCAGGCATGGTGTTTATTCAGTCATTTGCTGAATTGATGCTGAACCTGGGGTGTTATGGGACCCCATCAAAGGCAAGCAGAGGTTCAGCTGAGAGTCGTGTTGATGTATTGCAGCTTGAAACATCCAATTTTTCTGCTCCTGTCTGTTGTAGGACCTGAAGCCAAGTAACCTGGCTGTGAATGAAGACTGCCAGCTGAAGGTAGGTGGCAAAGCAGCATTTGCAGCACATCAGCTCGTGGGGAACTGCTCTGGCAGCAGGAAATTGGCACTGTCATGTTTCCTCTTTCCTCCCGAGCCTCCATTCCAGGCGTTGTGTTCCTTGGGCTGCAGCAGTGGAAATACTCCCCTGCTGATGTCACTTGCTGAATCAGGACACAAGACCTCAAATGAGCCTTCTGTCACTGTAATCCTCGTGGATGGCAGTGTGTAATGACTTCCTAGAGAAATTCAGCACTGCTGAGCAATACTTGCAGAGGTGAATGATCCCTGAAGGGGAACTGCATTCAGCTGCAGCTGCCCTTTGGTTCTCATGGACCTTGTGGTTGTGATTCCAGACAAAGTAATTTTCAGGGTTGCTCTGAAGGGTTTGCTTGCTGCTGGCTGGTGGGGTGCTCTAGCATGCATTTTCTGTAATGTATATTTCAGGGAGTGGCTCTGCTGCCCATAAAGGTTGGGTCAAGCTTGTTCATCTTCAGCATTGAGGGAGAGGCCATGCTGTGTCACCTGCAAGGTGTTCTTATAGGAAAGGGTGAGTTGTGGTGACCTGGGGGCACACCTTCACCACCAGGTCACAGACCAACTCCAGTAAAGCACATTGATTCCAAACTTAAGCTTCAAGAAAGGCAGTGACCTTCCAGGGAGCACAAAGCACTGATCTTTTCAGCAGGGTCCTCTCATGACAACAGGGTTTGCAGCTGGCTTGCAATTTACAGTGGAATTAAGCCACATAAATTCTTTGAACCATCCCATGGGTGTCTGTGGTGTAGTTGGAGCTTTGTTGTCTGATTGGAGCTACTCCATTTTCTCTTAGAAGTAGAGTCTCACTTGCCCATAGGATTTCTCTTTTCTCTCCTGCCCTCCCTTCTCCTTATTCTTTCTTTGGCACTGCAGATCTTGGATTTTGGCTTGGCCAGGCAGGCTGATGCTGAGATGACTGGCTACGTGGTCACACGGTGGTACAGAGCCCCAGAGGTCATCCTCAACTGGATGCATTACAACCAGACAGGTGAGCAGCCCTGCCCCAGCCTGGGACTCCCTGCTGAGGAGCTGGGGGATCCTGCTGGCTCAAATCCCACTGAATTGTCCAGTTGTTTTTTCCTCTTTTTCATCAGTGTTCCCTGGAGCAGAGCAGGTCCCAGAGGTGTTGCACAACTCCCAGAGCTGCTGCTTGCAGGAAATTATGAAAGCAGAGATTTTAGCAGCATAGAAAGAACAGAGGAGGGTGGGAGTGAAATTTAAATCAGTGCTTACTGCAAGCAACAGCAAAAGTGACAGCCCCAGCAACCACTGCTGCCTTTCTAATTTTTTTTCCTTCCTTTTCCCCCCTCCCTCCTTTTTCTCTCTCAACAGTGGATATCTGGTCTATTGGCTGTATCATGGCAGAAATGCTGACTGGGAAAACACTCTTTAAAGGAAAAGACTGTATCCTTTCAAGCTAAACCTTTTGCCTCAGCAGAGTAATAATTCTTAGTGTGTGTGGAAGGGTTTTTATGAATGAGGCTACTGAGAAAAACAGGTGTCAGACTGGTTTATCAGGAGGTAATCACAAGGACCAGTCTTTTGGGGGAAGAGAACAGAAGGGGACCTCAGAAATGCACCTCTATGGTGGGGTGGTTCTTCATCAGCTGTTCAGCCTTGTGTGGCCATAGCTCCATTCCCAAAGCTTTGCACATCCTTCCAAGCCCATGGATGTGTCCTGGCATAGTTGTGCCAGAAAAATGATCTGTTGATGGAAGTGCCATTCCAGGAAAGGCTTGGAGCTGTTTTTGCCAGTCTAATGAATCTCTACTGGTGTGACTGTGGTGGGTTTGGATAATGAGCTGATTGTACTCTTGCAGGCTGAGCTGGGCTGGGGCTTTGCTCCTCAAAGGGTGATCTTTAACACAGCTTGCCAGACCTGGATCAACTAACCCAGATCCTGAAGGTAACAGGGCATCCAGGAGAGGACTTCTTGGAGAAGCTGGAGGACAAAGCGGTAAGGAAGCTCCTGTGGATTTGGGTCCTGACTTGTGCTTGGCATGGGAGAGGTGCTGCCTCTACAGCAGCAGGGAAATGCCCTTTTTCCCAGGCAAGGAAGGCATTTCTCTGTGCTGGTGGCACAGCTGATGGACCTGGTGCTGCCTTGGGAATGGCTGTGTTTGGCAGGGCGCCTGATGTGAGGTCCTGATGCCCCAGCAAACCAATCTTTGTTCTCCTGCTTGGCTCTTAAAACAAAAGTGTTTCTCTGTCTTAACTGATAAAAAGCTCCTTGTAAACTGCTGAAATGGGACATCTGGAATGCTTTGCTCTTCTCTTCATTTGCTGAGACTGAGAGCTGTATTTCAGCTGTCCATGTGCAGTAACTGTGCTTTCCTTGCTCTTTTAGGCAAAGAGTTATATCAAGTCCCTTCCTAAAATCCCCAAGAAGGATTTGTCTGTGCTTTTCCCTAAAGCAAATCCTCAGGGTAAGTAATCTCCAGCATTTCTCATGAGTTTTCACAGCTGGAAAGGAGGCAGGCTGACTGCCACAGCCCCAACTTTATTTCTCCTCCTCATAATTTCTCGCTACTTTTTTCCCTTGCAGTTTGCATCTGCCCTTCCTCAGGGAAAACATGTATCAGTTAAAAGCAGAATTATCTTTTATTTGCATTACAGTGGTGATGTTCTGCTGCTCTTGGCCATTTACTACTTTTTAAAAAATATGTTACTTTTAAATACAGTGTAGAACCTGGATCTAGCAATATTTAACAGACAGCTGATGTGAAATTTTCAGGGTAAAAAATAATCTCTTAGAAAGAGCTCTCTTCCCAGGCAGGTTAGAGGTGAGAGCAAGCAAAACTCTTCTAGAAACTGAATGGAAGAAAGTCTTAAAATGTCAAAACCAATTGGGAATGGGGCTGATCTGAGTTTCCTGCCCTCCTCTTTACCAGGGATGTATAGGTTTCTATACGGATTACTCATGTTAAGACTCCTTTGGGATGTAGGGCTCTGAATGAAATAAATGATTAAAACTGAAAAATATCTTGAGGTTGGTGGCTTACTCCTCATGTTTCTGCAGCCCAGTCTGCGCAGCAAGGCTTATTCAGGTCTAATTTGTTATTTCTGCACAATTTAACTTCTGTTAGTAAGAGGTCTCTGAGGCTGTTGTTGGGCAGACTTTGCATCTCCACTGATGGGAGCTCCTTGCTGCCTTGGCCAGGTTGAGGATTCTCCTCACTCTTCAGGTGTGGAGATGAAACACTGGAAATACCAGTGCCACAGCTGCAGGGTTCATGCACAGGGTGCCTGTGCTCCCCTGCACCTTGCCCAGCCCCGTTCCCTTCCTCCACAGCTGTGGACCTGCTTGACAAGATGCTGCAGCTGGATGTGGAAAAGCGCCTTACAGCAACAGAGGCCTTGGCTCACCCCTACTTCGACCAGTTCCGAGATATTGAGGAGGAGACAGAGGCACAACACTCCTATGATGATTCTCTGGAACATGAAAAGCTTTCCATAGAGGAGTGGAAAAGTAAGAAGTTGATTTTCTTTGAGGTGCCTGTCTAGCATGGGACTTTCCTACCCCTCTTTCTTTGCTGTACAGATGGTGAGTGAAGCTCTGATTGCTTGCTGATGCCTCAGTGGTGGTGCACAGATCTCTGGCTTTTATCCATTCAGCAAAGATCCCTCCAGCTCTTATGGCAGACTTTTTTTGTCTCTCTCCTTTGTCTCTTTCAGCTGCCACTGAATGCCTTTTTCTGCACATCCAACGCTCCAACTTTTATTTGTTTCCTCTAAAATCACACATTAATGGTTATTTTGTTCTGTTTTTCAAGAGCACATTTACAAGGAGATCTTGACCTTCAGTCCCATTGCACGGAAGGATTCAAAGAAGAGAAGTGGGATGTCATTATAGCCATGGGTGCAGCTGTGGCTGGGACTCAGTTCTCCCTGGTGACATCAGATTCATTCCACACTGCGTTGCTGGTGGCCAACTTTTGGCCTGTGGGACCTCTCTCTATGTGCCAACACAAGGATGACACGGTGCTGTGGGCATTGGACTTTGTTCTTCTAAAGGGGAAGCACCCCAGACAGTTTTCAACATAAAAAACAAATATATTCTTGTTGAAACTTTAAGTGAGAGAATTTTACCTCATGTTTCCTTTTATTTTTTTCCTGTATTTGTCCACTTGAGAGAGGAGGTGTTTCATTCTTTCTCATTAGTCTTTTCAAGCACAGAGTTTAGTACATTAATTATGGATGTGGTAAAGAAAAAGGTAAAATTGACTAGGAAGTGAGTCCTAAGCAAAAGGATCAGAAATACTGAATTTCAGCATAACAAGACCTTAAGCAATCTCACTCTGGCTGTGTCCTGCTTCCCTGAGCAGTCACAGAGCACCCAGCAGAGCAAAGCTGCTGGGAGAGTGTCAGCTCCAGGGCACCAAGGGATCAGCTACAAACTCATCCTCTCATATTATACTGCTCAGCTGCTTCCCCTCCAAAGAGCCACTGCCTCTTTTTATTTTTGTTTTTCCCCTGTTTATTTAATTCCCTGGGATTTGATCAGTGCTGTCTCCTCCTCACTGCAGGCAGCAAACACAGCCTGGGAATTCGAAGCCACTTCCCACAGTGACAGACTGGGAGTCCCAAGCAGCTGGACAAGTGACTTTGAATATGGAGCTGCAGGACATTTTCCAGCCTGTGCTGAAACTGGAGTATCTGCAGATCCACAGCTTATCAATACAGTCACTTGATAGCACAGGCACAGCTGCTCGTTGTGATAACACCTTTGACTGCAACACCTTCCCTAGGGTGATCAGGCAAGCTCAGCCAATCATTCCAAAGTCCATCCCAAGGGATATGTGCCAAGAGCCAAGGGCCTTCTCTGTATCAGAGCTCAGAGCACAGAGTCCCCAGGACTAGAGAAAAGTATTTGACCTCAGTTATATTTGATCCCTCTTCTATAGCTGCTGACTTATTTTGGTTTGGTTTAGCCAGGTTGGTTGTTTTCAGTACTCTCTAATTTTCTTCTTAAGCAATGTTCAGTTCTGCTGTACAGATCATAAGTAAGAAAAAACTGCAACATTTCCAGAATTTTCTGATCTCTTTTCTCCACTGGGAACTGGACAGTGATGTCATGTTGCTTGGCTGCCTCCCTGCTGCAGCTCATGGCATGCAGCACTGGGGATAACCCTGCAGCGACTGCAGCTTTTTGATAGGATGGTGTTGATGTTTGCCTGCTGTAGCTGCACAGATGGTCCATGATGATAAGATGAGGTTTCTTTTGGCTCATATCTGTCTGGGTCATGTACAAGGCCTCTGCCCCACTCCTCTTTTTGGTAGGGACAGCGAGCACAGAACTGTTGTGATGTGTCCTCAATTCCGTGGAAATTCAATGTTCTCTTATGCAGAAAGTCATCTCTAAAGTCAAAGGCATCTGTTAAGGCCAGATTCAGACAGAACTCATGAACCACTAAATGGGAATGCAGGGTATTTCTTATCATCTTGTCCTCCTTCAAAAGGGGATAGGTAGACCTGAAGAGTCTTCTGTCTCAGTAATGATGGCTGAAGGAGAAAACATCTTCACAATAAAGGAATGTACTGAGCAGTCTGCTGGGAGTTGAAAAGGGACTTGGATAGTTGTAAAGAGTAATTTAAAATGCCCTTTGTGAATTGTCTGAGCAGAGGACAAGCATGAAGAGGCACTGGGGACATGGGATACAAATAGGTGTGAGAAGAATTCTGCAAACGTCAGCCTCACTTGTTTTAGGGACAGCACATAAAGGCTCTTCAGCATCAATCTTTCTGCTGAATGCACACCCAGTTTCAGGGACTGGGTTTCTGGGTTTCTTGGTAGGTTTACACTTACCCTGAATGCTCTGAAATTGCAAGAGCAATACCAACAGCTGCTGTGTGGGCTCCATGCTCTGGTTTCATTCATTCACCCACCAACCCCATACACTGACAGAACTCTGTGCAACAGGATTACCCAATACCCCAACAAATGTGGGGAGCAGGTGCTCTGTAAGCCCAGAACCCTGGAGGTGTATGTATATTTGGTTTTTTGTGGTATGTATCATCCAAGAACTCAAAATAGACAGTAGGAAATGTAGCAGGTTGGTAGTGGAAGGAGTATCTGTACAGACCAACCATCCCAGTGCTGCTGTGGCATCTGAGGACGTGTTTCAATGAACAGCAAGGAGAAGGGAGAGGTGGGGGGAAATTCTATTGACATTTCCTGAAAGAAGTTTGAAAAACACCTGCTTGACAGAGCCAGTGACTCAGGCCAAGGCTGGAATCCTTCAAAATCAGCACCAGAACTGAGAGGGGGTGTGTGACCCTGACAGACACTGTGAGTCAAAGCAGAATTACCTCATGCAGAGGTGCAGGCAGTGCCTGGTCGATGACTCACACTGACACATAATTCATGGACATTCCTTTCATTACAAGTATAGTTTACATACTTAAAAACACAAAACCAAGTGATAAAAATCCCTCAGCCAATAAGTGGTCCAAAATTCCATAGATCAGGCCAGCCAAAAATATGTTTGCTGTTTGTATTACGTTTCTATGATATAAATTTACACAGATATATGGATGGAATTTTTGTGCCTGTCTCAGATAACTTACAGATGTTTAACTTGGAATACTATTTACTTGCTATTCTTACATTAATTTCTGACTTCCAAGCATCTTTTTTTAATTTGGAAAATAAAGCCTTCAGAAACAATCTTTCTCTGTAAGTTTATTTTGACTGTTAATTAGGTCTGTGAAGTTGCAGATTTATGGGGCCTATTTGTTAGGCATTTGCACATGTAAGTGGGAAAAAAAAAAGCAGATGAAGGAATAATTATTTTATTTTCTTAAGAGATACCACAAAATTAGAGGATTTTTAAAGAGAGATAATAGTAGCTGTGTTTTGGATACCACCTAGAAACCTTTCAGTGCACAATTCTGAAAATTTCCACAGCCTCTTAGAAAACAACTTATTTTATCCTGTAGGAAAAAGACAATTATCTGTTTTTATATTTAACATTTTCACATTCTAGGTAGCAGACTAAACAAATAATGTTCATGTTTTACGTATGTGACAATGGGAAAGAAGAAAAACAGAAAATTATAAACATATTTGAGAGCTCTAGTGAGATTCTGTACAAAGGATGCTAGTACCTTTTCATATTCCCATGTCTTGCTGTTGCCTGAGCAACCAGGGAAAGCGTTCCTAATCCTCTGCATTTTTCCTGTATCATGGGTCAGCAGAGTGTTGGCTGGAAACGTGATTATGGCTGTTTTTCTTTTCACAGCTGAGAGAAAAAAAGACAAGAAAGATTGAATGAAGACCAGAATAGCCACTACTGATTTGCTTTCCCCCCAAAAGGGTGGACACTCGCTGCACTAATTGTGCTTATCATGGAATCATTCAGCTTGGAAAAGGTCATTAAGATCATGGAGTCCAAATCTACACTGAAAATGTCACAGTTTCCAGGTGAATGTGGTTTAGGGGATGTTTTGCCTGATTTCTCTCTACAAGGCCATTTCCTGAGCACATGAGCTTACACAGCTTTTAATGTGATGTTCAGCTGGTGCTGGCTCACAGCTGATTCAGCCAGCTCTCCTTTTTTTTGTTGGAATGCACTCCATTAAATAATACTGAAGGGTTAGGATATTTGCAACCCTCATTGATTTGCTGTTACATGAAAGTGAGTTAACTTCTTTTAGCCAGGTTTGGCTGGAAAAATAAAAATTCTCCTGCCATAAACCATCATTTCAGATCTGTCTTAAGAACATGCCAACCAAAAAAAAAAAAAAAGCTGTAAAATTAGAAGACATTGAGATTAAAAAAATAAGGAGCACTGATGAGGTAGTGCTGGGTGCTTGTGTAACCCCTCTGATGTGAGGCTGAAGAGGGTTATAAATAGATAAGTAAAATTCCAGTGAAAATACATGGCAACTGAGGCTTATCACTTTTGAGATATCAGGTTTTAACCTTTCATGCACAAGGCACCTGTTTAGCAATTGCTCTGATTTCAGCAGTTCTGAAGAAAACAGCAGCAGAACAAACAGCCAAAGAGAGATACAAACATAAGTCAGTTTTGAGGCTTAATAAATCAACAAAGAAAAAGGTCAGCTCTCAATTCTAAACAATACTTCTCTTCCCTTTTTAGGTATGTCCTATATGCTTGAATAAACATGGAGAAAATTGTAATATGAATGAAGGTGCCCAACTCTGTTTGAGGTGTCTTGGCTTCTGCTTTCATTTGAAGCAACTAAGTTTGCACTTGGACCCTTTAAAAACTGGGACAGCAAAGAAACTGAATTAAGCTGTGCCTCTGGGATTTGAGAGAAGTTCAGAACGTTTTTTCAAATAACCTGTTAGTTCCACAGCTTTGCTATAAAACAAAATGATGAATAACTTGTTTTGATGCTGTAACACATGGCCCTCAGTCATCAGAGATGTCTGATCTCTGTGCACGAGTCATGCCACTGTTCTTAATAGGGAACCTAATATGATTATAATAAGCTAATTCCAGTGCAAATTTAAGAGTATAAAGTTTCAAAACTGAGGCAAAAAATGTTTGTAAAAGTTGATCCCATTAAAAGAAAAAAAAAGTAAAAAAAAAAAAAAAATTCAAGTAAAACCTTGTTAAAATACCCAAATAAAGAAGGAAAATCACAGAAAGGTCTGGGCTGGAAGGGACTTGACATCTGTTTGCAGATGATCCCCTGCTGTGGGACACCTTTCACTAGAGCAGGTTACTCACAGCTCCATCCAACCTAGCCCTGAACAATTCCAGGAACGTGGCAGCCACAGCTTCCCTGGACAACCTGTTCCAGTGCCTCACCAGCATCACAGAGAATTTTTTTCCTATTACTCAATCTAAACCTCCTCTTAGTTTGAAACCATTCCCCCTGTCCCTACATGCTCTTGGAAAAGTCTCTCCTCATCCTCACCGTAGGCTCCTTTCAGGTACTGAAGGGCTGCAATTAGGTCACCCCAAAGCCTCTCTTTTCCAGGCTGAACAAACCCAGTTCTCTCAGCCTTTGAAGTCACTTATCAGTGAAATTATTTTATTTACTGTTTAACCAGGAAGCAAATGCAGCTGTAGGTTGTTTTACCCTTCATGGTTAGGACCATACTGTTATACAGCTGTTCTTTTGAGGGTGAGATCCTTTGTAAATCAGTGAGAGTACTGGGAGTTTATTTCTAAATCCTTGATATGTTATTTTTATGCAAGACAAGAATAGCTTATTATTTATTTTCAAGTTTTGATATGTAAGTAGTAGACCTATAAAAAAGTATACACCATATATACACAGTATATACTTCAAAGGTGGTATGTAAAGACTGTTCAGCAGTAAGCAACATCTTTTTCTTTCTGCTTTCAAAGCTGTAACAAGCTCTGGTCCAACCTGAGTACTCTGCAAAACAGACTGTCACAGACTAGATGCTCTCAGATTCCATGGTTAACATACGTTAAGAGACAAAAGATCTCCAGCTGGACTGTAAATGAGGGAAAACAACATTCTTTGCTTCCTTCTAAAACGGTTAATTCTATAAATTCAGATGGTGATATTATGCAATACTCTGCGCAGAGTGGGAGGTGGAACACACATATGCTCAAGTATGTGGCATGCTCTATAAAAAGTAAGTGTGGGAGCCTCTGCAATTCCTATCTCAATTCTTATCTCAGTTGCTAACTCAACTTCTTCCTTGTTCAATCCCCTCAATCCCTCTCTTGCTTGTCCCTCCAGCCTGTCACACCTCTGCACGTGAAGAGGCCATCTGGACCTGAAATATTGGCCTACAAAATAAATACAGGCTCTTGCTATTTACATGGTTTGTTTCATGTTGCTTGTTTAGACTAACTGTGGCAGGCAAAGGTTCTCTGGGAGTGTAGTTGGACTCTGGCACCTGACCACGCTTCAGGGTGTTTCCTGGGACCCCACGCCTCCTGCCGGGAGCAGCGGCGGCAGCAGCGGCGGCAGCGGCAATGAGGAGGCGGCGCTGAGGAGGCGGCAGTAGCCGGAGCGGACGGAGCCGACATCTTGTGCCCTCCCCTCCCGCCGCCGGCTGGGTGAGCCCGTCCGCCCCAGGGGGGAGGGGAGGGGGAGGCGGAGAAAATTAAAAAAAAAAAAAAAAAAGTGGGCTGCAAAATGAAGACACCCCAAACGAGCCTGGCACAAAAACCCCACCTCATTCCCCGTGGCCTGCCGGCTCCCGCCCGTGAGGTACCGGCCTGGGATGGGCGCACACGGCTGCACCGAGCTCCCGAACCCCAACCCCGCGATGATGTGGGGGGCAGGCGAGGTGCGGGGATATCCCGCTCCGGCCTCCGGGAGGCCGCGGCTGCCCGGTGCTGCCTCGTCAGCCCCGGAGGGGGACACGGGCGGCAGCGACCCCCGCCTGAGCCATGAGGGCAGCGCGGAGCGACCCCCCGCCCTCCCGTCACCAGCAGCCCCCGGGGGCCTCCCGCTCGGCGCGGCCCGGGTGTGGGAAGGCACCGGGGAGGGGCGGGCGGTGCCTGCCCGCGGGGGGAGCGGAGCGCGGAGCCCCCTCCCCCGCCTGGCCGCTGGCTGCCGCCTCTCCCCGCCGCTCGGCCGGCCCGCGCCGCCACCGCCGCCTCCATCTTGAGCGTGTGTCCCCTGCTCCCCCCCCCGCCTCCACAGCACCGAGAGCGTCGGGGGCGCTGGAGCCCCGGGGGGGAGCGGGGGGGAGGTGAGGGTGGTGGGGGGCGAAAAAAAAAAAAAAAGAAAAAAAAAAAAAAAAGGAAAAGAAAAACAAAAACAAAAATTCCCCCCAAAAGGAGGCGGCGGCAACGGTGGAGAAGCCGCGGCAGCGGCGCGCTGAGCCGGCCAGGTAAAGCTCTGCGCGGGAGGCCGCGACACCCTTCCTTCAGGGGTCTCTCCTCCCTCACACACCCCCGCGCCGGGGTCGCGGGAAGGTGACCGGGCGGGCGGGAACGAGCTGGGGGAGGCCGGTGCGCCGCAGCCTGCGGGCCTCTCCCACATCCCTGCTCCGTCTCCGTGCGGCGAGAGCGGCCCGCGATCCCTCGCTGAGGAGGGGCAGCGACGGAGAGCGCCCGGGGACGGGGAACGGGCAGCGCCGTGTCAACCGGGCCCCCCCATTGCCGCCATCTTGGCCCCCCCTTCTTCGCGGCTCGGCGGGGGCGCCGCCCACCTTCTCCCACGCGATTGGCTCAGGCGGGGCCGAGCGCACCCGCCGTTAGCCCCGCGGAGCGTTGCGTTGCTATTGGCGATGGCGCTGTGATGGACGGCGGCGGCAGCCAATGGCCGTGCAGCCCCTCTGCGCTCGCGCTGCGCGCCCCCGCCCGCTCGTTCTCTCTGGGGGCTGTGGCGGCTCTGTGGGGAGGCGCGGCCGCGTACGGGGCCCGGGCCGCGGCTCCGTCCCGCCGGGGTTCGGTCCCGCCGCAGTTCATCGCCTTCTCCTGCCCCCTTGCTAGGACCACTTTCATTTCTGTCCGAGGCCCTGCCGTGCCTTGGCTCAGTCGCTGGCTGCTACTGGAGTTCCCTGCAGGGTAGCTCCTGAGAGGAGCTCCCGCCTGTGCCTGACAGCTGAGGGCATGTCGCCGTTCCCTCAGCTGCTGCTGAGATCTGACACCGCTCATGGCGCACCCCATCTGTTGCTGGGCCCTGAGTTTATACCTGAAACTTCATCCGCAGCCCGTCTCGCACCCTCCCCGTTCCAGAGGGAGGGTGCCCGTGCATCTCCCATGCTTGACTTGGTTCCAGCAGTATCAGGGCATTGATAAAGACCGAGATCCCTGCATGTGCCAAGACAAGCAGCTGTGTGACATCTCTTGGGCACCGACACATTTCATTGTAGGCATCAATGGTGGTGTGAGGACCATAAACCCTTGGCAGGTGTGTGAGGGGACCATGGGCAAGCACAGGTGTGCAGAGGGAATCAAAACATTCCTAGGATGCTGCTTAGAAGTTTCTGTTGTAGGCAACAGCAAGGTCACAGTGCTCAGCTCAGTTGTCTGAGTTGATTTCACGGCTGCTTTCAAGGTATTTTGGAGGTGTCTCTCCTAATATCCTGGTGTATGTCTCATTTCAGGCACTCAGCTCTCGCTAGCAGCAATTTCCGTGCCGTTTTAGGTGCTTCTTCATGGTGCTAAGTAATTGTGTGTTTTACAAACAAGTTGTTTTATGGCAGTTGGTTGCTGTGGTGCAAAGCCCACTTTGGGGTAATTTGTCTAGAAATACACTGATTGTTGCACTAAAGGAGCTCTGCATGCTTGTTTTTCCCATTAACAGATAAAACAACCCTTTCAGGTGCTTGTTTCACTGAAATTTCCTTGTCCCTCAGCATTCCAAGCAATTGGCTGTTACCTCATTTTTCCTGAACACAATATTAATGATGTGTGTGGGCAGCTCATAATAATTACTTTATCCTCCATATATCTTTTTGCCTCCAATATCCTCTTTGCTTGTACCAGCCTGAATTGTAACAAAGCTGTTTGTCAGCAGGATTTTTTTTTTGTTTGTTTGTTTGGGGTTTTTTTTAATTATTATTTTTATTTTATGATCAAGTTACCTTTATAACCTCTTTTTAAAATTCTTTTCTCCTACTGATTGAAGCCATTGGAGTTCAGTTAGGACGAGTGCAGTTGGGTGTCTGCAGTGTGTGGATCAAGTGACTGATTAAAGTCACTTTAATTTGTGGTACCTATATTTGCAGGTAGAAATTATCGTATTTTATTTTACATGTGATGTAAAATTCTATTTACAGGCTCCCTCATTATAGGTGTGCATACTGAAACTGGCACCTGCAGCTTATTTCTGTGGATGCAGGGAAGAGTTTGGAAATCTTTCCCAGAGCCTGTTTGTTTCTTAAGACACAGGTGGTGTCATGGCTTAATCTCATGGTTCACAGAGCCAGTACTTGAAAAAATATTGCTCCTGGAATTTGCTCCTTCTTTCTGGACTAAGCTTGGACTTCTTGTAGGTCCTGGTCCTGTGAGATGCTGCTTGCTGTGGCAGACAATTGAGAGTTTCTGGAACTATGTCCTTCATGGAGCACAAATACTGCATTGGCTGAGCACAAATTGTGGGTTTGTGGTGTGTTTCCTTGTCTGTGGGTCCCACAGAAAGGAACTGAATGTGGATTGCTTTAAATAAGGGTGAGGTGCTGCTTCAGGCCTCTGCATAGCAACAGATAAGCTCTGGGCTGGCTTATCTTCTCACAGAGAATTTACATTTGCCTTTCTTTGTCTCCTTTCCGACTTCTTACAGCCTCAGCTTGTTTATTCCCACAAGTCATGTTCCCATCCTTGACTCTGCCCTTCTCTCTTGCATTACTCACTTGGCTTCCCCTCTGCTTTCCCTCTTTGCCAGCTCCCTCCTTCGCCCTCCGATCACCGAGCTGCTGCCACCATGTCTGAATCCTCCCCAGACCATCTCCCCAGGCTTCTCCTCTGCTCCCCTCTGACAGGCACCTCCTTAATGTCAGCAGCCGACTCTCAGCTAATTATCTGGCTTGCTGATTAGCAGTTTGCGCGGGCAGAGCTGGCTGGGGCTTTTTGTTAAGGCTCTGAGCAAATGCCATTTCACAGCTCCTGGTGCTGGGAGCTGTCTTGCTGCTTTCCTGCTTGTAGCCCTGTGGACTCTCCATAGCCAGGTGGCTCAGGTGGATGAATGGGAATTGTGGCTCCAGAGGGGCTAAAACCAGAGCTCGTAAGTCCATTGGGATCCATGCTGCTTGTTGCCTTTTTATCCCTCATCTGGTTTCTGCTGCTTTGCTCAGTTCATCCTCTGGTTCTGTTTGTGACCCTTGACAGAAGGAAATGTGAAACTGGAGGATGATTTTTTCATTGTGGGACTTTTTTTGCATCTGCAGTGTCAGAATGGAAGGGTTGATGGTGGCAGCTCTGAGCTGTGAAACCTGGACTGAGGGAAAACCATTAGTTTTCTCATCTGGAGCTGACAAAAAAAACATTAAATTGGAATTAAATTGGAAACTGCATTCATAAGACCTGAATGGTGCATTCCTTTTCACCAGCACATCTGGGGATATAAATGAAAAGTCACAGAGGAAAAAGAGCAGAGGAAAACTATTTGGCTTGTGTGAGCTTAATATGTGAACGTTCACATCTTCTTGCACCAATGTTGTTTGAGTTTCAGGGGGTTTGAATGGTTTGCTGATCTGGTGCACAGCAGACTGTTTGTATATTGTGCTGTCAAATTATTTGGAGTTTTTCTCACTGGTGCTGTGGTGGAATGTACATCTGAGGTGCAAATAGAGGAAGTTGGAGGGTGCTGTGCATTGCTCTGATACACATTGCAGGAAATGGCTAATATATCAAATACCTGCCTGTATGTAAGGTGTGAAGACTCAGTGAGCCCAAAATTGCTGGAGTTCCTGGTAGCAATTCTCTCTATTACAGCACTGAGTGAGTTTTTCAGTCTGTGCTGCTTCTTGCTTGTCTCCTTGTCTTACCCTGTCCTCTGTCCTGTTGTTTCCCAGGTTCTCTGGACCACAGGGATGAGGAAGCCTCGGAGGAGGTGCCGGCAGCACTTGGAGGGGAGGCGTTCTCCCTCGCCCTACAGCCTCAAGTGCTCGCCCAGCCGCGAGACGCTGACCTACGCGCAGGCCCAGCGCATCGTGGAGGTGGACATCGACGGGCGGCTCCACCGCATCAGCATCTACGACCCCCTGAAGCTCATCACCGAGGACGAGCTGACAGCCCAGGACATCACCGAGTGCAACAGCAACAAGGAGAACAGCGAGCAGCCCCTCTTCACTTCCAAATCTAGGAAAACACCTTCCAAAGGCAAGAAGAAGGAGTCCTGCTCCAAACATGCGCCAGGGATATCTTTGCACTTGCCCCAGCCCAAGTTCCGTGTGGTGGACTCCTTCAGGCAGCCTGATGCCCCTCCCCTCCCTGCTGCCTACTACCGGTACATTGAAAAGCCTCCCGAGGACCTCGACGTAGAAGTGGAGTATGACATGGATGAGGAGGATCTGGCTTGGCTGGAGATGGTCAACGAGAAGAGAAGGGCTGATGGTTATGGGACAGTTTCTGCTGACACTTTTGAGCTGCTGGTGGATCGGTTGGAAAAGGAGTCGTACCTCGAGAGCCGGAACAACGGGGCTCAGCAGTCCCTCATCGATGAGGATGCCTTCTGCTGTGTCTGCATGGACGATGAGTGTCACAACAGCAATGTCATCCTGTTCTGTGACATTTGCAATCTGGCCGTGCACCAGGAGTGTTACGGTGTGCCCTACATCCCCGAGGGGCAGTGGCTTTGCCGCTGCTGCTTACAGTCCCCTTCTCGCCCCGTGGATTGTGTCCTTTGCCCAAACAAAGGGGGAGCCTTCAAGCAGACCAGTGATGGCCGCTGGGCTCACGTGGTCTGTGCCATCTGGATCCCGGAGGTCTGCTTTGCAAACACTGTGTTCCTGGAGCCCATCGAAGGGATCAATAACATCCCTCCAGCTCGGTGGAAGCTCACATGCTGTATCTGCAAGCAGAAGGGCATGGGAGCTGCTATCCAATGCCACAAGGTGAACTGTTACACTGCCTTCCACGTCACCTGTGCGCAGAGAGCCGGTCTCTTCATGAAGATTGAGCCCATGAGGGAGACCAGCATCAACGGCACGACGTTCACCGTGCGCAAGACTGCCTACTGTGAGAGCCACTCCCCGCCTGGCACGGTGAGAAGAGGGTGCCCAGCTGCTGGTGGTGATTGGCAGGAAGTCACTGTGAA